GGCATGACTTTTAAACAGCAAAACAACAGCTAACGACTTCGGATAGCTAAATTAACTATAGAGTCCTGGAGATTCTATAGGCTCTGCCTAAGTGTAGTACAAGTAGTTTCCACAGATACAAATTGAGAAATCGATATTACTTCAATACAGTCTGCATATCGAAAAAGAATTTACGCAGCCAAAGCTGACAGCAACGTGTCAACGCCTTCACAGTCGATGGAAAGAAAGAAAGCAACCAAAGGGGAGACAGAGAAAGCTGACTCTTTTCCGCCAGCGGGGTCCGCTGTAGACCCTCAGCTGCCATGCAATAGCATCGCTGTAAAGATTTATACCCTAAATATTCTTGAATTCAACTCACCTCAATGCTTGGGAATGTATTGGCGTCCTTTTTGTCACTTCATACATGCCTGTTCAATGTCTTCACGAAAGTGATGGAAGCGTCGCAGCCAGCTCGAAGCAGTGTCTATTTCAATGTACATCCCAGTTTTCAAATTGATCTACGCTCAACTTTTACAACTAGCAACCAGATTTTTAAAAAAAAAAACTCATAAACAAATATCGTGAAACCGGAACACTTGACTTCAAGTTATAACAACCGTTGCTTTCACGTTTTCTTTGCAGCCATTTTCCAGTATTCACCAGAAGAAATACACGAAATTGTAGACATTTGTCCTCGGTCATCACCATTAAACGAAAATCCAACAACCATGTCGAAAGCATCAGAGATATAGACCGAGTTGACTGCAAATGGTTTTCTCCGGGCCTGCGAGAAAATTCACATCCGTTTCATCGACTAAAGAGAATTGTTCTACGATGCAGTGAAGAACTTGATCCGGGTTTCCTAATGAAGACTGTTGAAGCCCACGACAGCGCAGTTTCGAAACGCTATATGGTCTTGTGACTCGATCACGAATTGGACAGTGAACACATTACAAGAACTGGTCGTATTGGTTTAAAGGGGCGCCAGCCACGACGATTACTCGGTGAGGTCGCAACCATTTGAGGGTTGTCGTCCCCCACGTCATTTACGAAACGCTAAAAAAAATTAGAGGAGCGAGTACCATCCCATTTTCCAGTCAGTAGATTCAGTACGGCGGAAAGAAAAAAACACACACAGAAAAGCGAATGGTCGTTCAACACACGACTATTTATCCACGATTGTTTCATGCTAGATTGAGTTATCTATGTATACGACTAAAATGACTTAGAATATTTGCTTAAATTGGTGAAATAAAATTCGTGAGTCAAGTTGAGTCGAAGTTCGTGCTGAGCACTTCTGAACCGTTTTCATGTTTGGGTCAAAGCGTTAGTGTAGTGCAGCACTATACACGGTGGTTTCAAGTTTACATGCTAAGACTCGACAAATAGACGGGATGCAGTCTCTGTTGCTTTTTCAGGCTTATAGTAAAAATCATGGAAACTTCAAATCGTCAAGTATCTTGTCGTCATACTTAGTAGGAAGGTACGTTTAGTTACACAACAAGAGGAAGTTGGAGCACTCCGGCCTAGTGGACCACACTTTGTTTATCCTAGTAATTCAATTTCGGTAGGTGGTAGTCTGAAGAAAATCGCCAATATTTGTATTTTTAATTTTATTCGACGGAACCCACTCGACACAAATAGTGTTTATCAGCATAATTAGAGCCTTGTCCGTCACCGGTCGGATTCAACAGACCCCGTTTCGAGAAGACGCCACAAACGACAGGGCATAGTCCCATGCAGTGAAAGGTCCTTCATCGTGACAGTAGCCAGCTCGGATTTTAGTAACGCGTCCTGCTTGCGCCTCTCGGCGTGATGCCCGTGGCAACCTGCCAGCTCCATATCTCCAAGAGCTCATTATCCAATTTACTCGTTTTCAGCAACATCGACATCGACCTTCACGGCAAATTCACCAATGGTTGGAAGGACACCTACCGAAGCTTTGGCTTTAGCTGGTATGATCACTGCTAGCCTCGTGACCGCTGACATCCCGATTGTCGTGTTTCACGACGCCACCTACTCGCTACCTGAATCGTATGGCGTACCATGTTCTGGTGTGGAAGCGGAACCTGTGGGCACCGCCTGCCCCAAGGCTGGCGATGTCGCTGTCACGGACTGCCAACCATACCTACTGTCCTACAACGGTGCAGTGTGCGTCGCTCCGGTGGATGCCGAATGTGTACGCGGGCATGACGACGTGTGGAGCTGTGAGTTTCCAAAGACGGGTTACACTTCTGCTATCGAGGCAGAGACCATCGCGGCCTACGTTGGAGATGCATTGGGTTGGGACATGGAGCATAAGGAGCCACAAGGTACCAACCAAGAGAAGGTCAGTAAGACAGCGATTGAGTATCCAGCTAATACTCGCAAGCTGTCTGCTACGGGCCAGGAGAACCTGGTAGCCGATACCGACGCCGACGAAGTACCTGAAACTGGAACCGTCAAACCTTGCCACCAGACAGAACCACCAACCGAATCTACCACTATTGCACCGACAGAGGTACCGTGTGACCCGACAGACGCACCAACGGAGTCTACCACGTTTGAACCGACCGAGATCCCATGCGAACCAACAGACGCACCAACGGAGTCTACCACGTTTGAACCCACTGAGGGCCCATACGAACCGACGGACGCACCAACGGAGTCTACCACGTTTGAACCGACTGATTCGCCAACTGACTCTCCTACTGATGCGCCCACCGACGCCCCAACTGACACGCCCACCGATGCTCCTACGGACGCGCCCACCGATGCTCCTACTGAGGCGCCTACCGATGCACCCACCGATGCCCCCACCGATGCTCCAACTGACGCGCCGACTGATACTCCAACTGATGCGCCCACCGATGAGCCGACCGTCGCGCCGACTGACGAGCCCACTGGTGAGCCGACCGACGAACCTTCAACACCCTGCGACAACCAAGGTATTAACGGTATTGGAGTGGAGAACAAGGTGCGCTACAACAACGCCGGCATCTACAGCACGACGCCTGGTCCCCGTAATGCTCAATCCTGGCACTCATGCTGCGTCTCTTGCTACAATGATATCAACTGCCACGCTTTCAGTTTCCAGCAAACCAGTTCAGACTCTGTATGCGAGCTGACGACGTCGACTTCGAACAGGGAAGAGGATCAGCAGAACTGGCAGGCAGGCAACATGGGCCGTGACGGCTAAAACTGAAGCACTCTAGAACGCATCTGCTCCTACACTCTTATGCATGTTTTCGATGTGAGTATTCAACAGCCAGTTGTCCAGGTTGTTAACTCAATTCAATACATTCAAGTCATTTTCTGATTTCCTTTGTTGGTGATTATTGCTGGTGCAAAATTGAATACCACTAATGCCGTGTTTTGCACGGGGAAGCTCTGGGTTTTCAAGCTAGTTACTGTTGGTCAGGCCTCATTAATTGAGGATTTTTCCGTTTCCCCCTATTAAAGCTTATTAGAGCTCCAGGAGGCAAGTTAATAAAGGGATAGTGAGGGACAGTATAAATAAGTATAAATGAATGTATCCATATAACCAAACAATCTAGTTTTTTTTTTAACTAATATCAAGTGTCGACACTTTTCGGAACTGCTTCTCGTGTAGAATCCCTTCAGGGAGAAATCAGTTAGAGATCGACGATATCCATTGCCGTTCCCAGCCAATGATTGAAAAATCAGACTCTACCGAGGTATTGACGGGGAAAGATGAAACCAGGGCCCCACAAAAGCTCTGCAGCGTCTGAAATCGCCCACTCACAAGATTCCATCCTTCTTCAAAAGTTGTTTTACTATCGCTGCACTTGGGCAGGTTCTTCGCAAGAACATCTTCTTCAATGACTCCCGTAAACTGTGGTGGTCGCTATTAATATGTGTAATTTGTGCAGTGCTCCACCCTGCTGCCTTCAGTCTAGGTTCGTATTGTTTGTACGGAAAGCAGCGCGAAGTACTGCACGCTCGTTGTTTTCTTCTGCTTCTCTCCACGTTTGGCTTCACGGCCACATCCGATTCAAACCTTGCATGTTTCGGCAAGTACTGCAGGCGTTTCAGGGCGCCGCTCGGAGATTTCTAAACCATACGTGGCGTCGTGTCCTTGCTGGGACGGTGTCTTCAAAGCCCGCGGTATATCGCTACGTGTAGCTAAAAGTCTTCCGTCGGCGCTCGTTTTCTTTCGAAAAATGTAAATAATCACCAGGCTTATCAGTTGGAAAATGACTTCTGTAAGCTATTGATGAACATCCCATACCCCTTTGCTATTTATTGTGCATCGGACAGCTATTTTCGAATCAAATTGGCGATGTATCGGGACAGGGGCGCACCAACACCCCTAACATCTTGCCAGTTTTAGCGTGGACAGTCGGAGAACTTAATATAGATACTGTGAGGGAAATGGGTGTATTTCCCTTAATGAGGTCTGCTGTTGGTATTACTGCAGTCCTAGCAACAACTTGTAAATAGTCTCTGTCGAGCAATGAGCAGGAGTACTCCGCAGACCTGTAATTTTTTACAGCACACCAACTAAACGTTTGTGATTTCTTTGTCCGCTTGGTTAGAAAATATTAGCAAACACTGCCTTTGTCGTTTTTTTTTTTTTTTTGACAAATCTTCATTCAATAAGAACGCGTAGCTTTGTCGGTTTTTTTTTTTTTTTTTTTTGGCAAATCTTCATTCAGTAAGAACGAGTAGCGACGGATGTTCTACTTGGTTTACTGTAATGTTACGTCGTCGTTGTTGCTGCGCGCTTGTTCCAAATCGAGTTGAATCTCTGCCTGTAAGCAAACAATTCCGCGAAATATAGCTGTCCAAGTATTTTCGTTGTGGTTTACGACAACATACAGCGAAGACCTCTGCAGTGAATATCTCAGTATAGCAACCATATCAACATAAATTTCAACGTTCGGAGAGAGAGCTTATGACGGAGAATGATCAACCAAGATTCAAGCCGGCTACAGCAACGAGGTAGGTTAATGTGTGTATTGTATTACCCGCTTTCTCCATTCAATTCAGGACCTCGAATTTTCATCCTGCTTGTTAAGCGTAGCTTCGGACGACATTCACCATAAATAACTTACTTTCGTCTTCCGTAATTTACCGATGATGTTACACTTGGCCGCCACAAGCAACATTCACGTGTTTTGCATGAGCTGTGCTACAGGTATGAGATATCAAGGTGTGACATACTTGATTAAATTAAGGGTCTTGTTTCAGATACGAGCAGGAAATAGCGTGTATCTAATACCAGGAGGGAAAACATATTATATTGGGTACGATTATCCTGTGGCAATCATATATAACAGTAGTATAAGAGTCAACAGGAAATTTTGCAAGGTTTGAGTTACTTGAGTATTAATATCCTGAGTATACTAGAGGGGCTGGTAGTGCTGAGTAAAAGCACTATAAGATCTAGTAAATCGTCTGCGACTTACACTGAAAACATTTTTTTATAGCCTAATCAGCGATGCAAAACATCCGAAAAGCCGTGATATCTCGAAAAATCAAAGTACTCATCGAATTATTTTCTCTATTTCTCTCCGATACTTCCAACCAAGACATATTTCGAAAGGTGGAGTATGTTGGTCTGGAACCTTCCATCAGACTTGTTCTAAGCTGAATGTTGGCTATTTGGTAACCGCGGTAGCCACTCCACCCTCCAAGGGAACCCTCTGCTGCAGCGGCTCCGAACTGGCCGAACTCAATTTCCCTACCTTTACCGACCACTACGAACAGGAACATGACGGATTGAGCGCGGTATGCACCTGCAATAC